ACTTTCATCCTATTTCTAGTGATGAAAGTTGGGTCATTACCTTTTTTGCAGATGAATAGATTTGATGAAGGAGATAGTCGTAAAGTAACTCACCCCTTTCGTTTGTGTTTGTACTTCCCCATTGCGTGTGGTGTGAGTCCACCCAGGGTGAGTTCCTTAGATGAGTGTGTATGTATGAGTTGTTGTGTAGTGGTGTTTGGTAGTGGCCCTTCGTAGTCGTGAGCCAGTTAGAATGATGCTAAGGTTTCGTTTAGCTCTAGTCTGACAGTGGTGAGGTCGCCTTCGCTAAACTGTGGAATAAGAAATGTGTTAAAGTGTGTCTTTGTAAGAATGCAGGTTCTGGTTTTACCCTTAACCTTGGTGTAAAATAGCTTGTATAGGGGGGTTTATAAGCCACAGATGTTGTTACCAACAATCCATGGCTCTGGAATGAGGACTACGTCTATGTTGCCTCTTACCAGGCGGGTGAGGAAGGCAGCGGATGCTGCCTTGCTGTGGTGCAGGTTAATCTGCAGGAACTGCACTAGGACCGTGGTCGGTCTGGGTACCCTCCCCTTCCTCCGCTATGTCCTGGAGAACAGTGCGCCCTGGTCGGGTCATGTCCTGGGTGCACAGCTGCTTCAGGCTTTCTGTCAGCTCCGAGTCGGTTGACACGTAGCCAGTGAGGGTGGCCACCCCATGCTCCAATTCGACGTCGCTCGGGGGTTCGTACGACGCAAAGGCAGTCAGGTTATCCGCCGCAAGTTTATCCGTGTCGTAGATGCGTTGAGCTGCGAGGGGTTCCAAGCAGGCCTGGTTCAAGAGGATTACCACGTTCATAGTGACGCGCTCGGTTTTCTCCACCTTGACCACCTTCCAACCGTCAGTCGTAAGCTTCGGGTTGAACCTGGTCTGAGAATAGCCCCTGGTTCCGAGGGTTCCGACGGCAGCCATACCCTCGCTCTCGGTCGAGACGGGATGTCAGCGGCCTCGCAAACTGCCAAATTGGCCCCGGGGTAAACCTCGCCGACCTTGTTAATGGCAGCCTTGTAAAGTGCTCCCGATCTCTCGTCCTAACAGGCGATCAATTTAACATTGCCCTGGTACCACCCCGTATCTGTGCAATCGGGTGGCGGACCTGGGTTTTCGTCCAGCACTTTCAAGGCCACTGATGCAAGGGTCCGTCTAACCAGACTCCATTGGTTCCTTGGGATCCTTCCGCCTTCATCGCTCTGGTCGATGACTCCAATGATCTTCCGATTGTTGTTCTGGCCTTCTTGCTCGCTGGTTGAGCTGTCTCCATCGACCTCTCTCGCTTAATGCTGTTGCTGGTGGTCACAGCGATGTCGAAGTCTGGGATTACCGCCTTTGCCCAGGCTATGTCCTCTTGGATTTTTGGGTAATCCAATTTTGACGTTTGATCCTCACGTATCGGGTTGGTAGCCAGCCGTTTGAGGATCCGGAAAGCCTTCTTACGTTCAAGAGGTCCTGCCTGGTTAGGTGGTATCCTTGAACTCCTTTGCCCTGGTAATCACCACGAGACCGGCGTTGGCGACCCCCTCAGGTTGGAGTAGCTGGTGGGAGGCTTGGGATTGTCGTTATGGTGAGTTGGGCTTAGTCGGCTGCGTTGTTCGCTGGCCTTGGCAGGGGTAGACGTCTTGTCGTCGTTGGTTACGACTTTCGACTTTTTGAGAGTGTCGGGCTCTTTTTTGGAGCTATTATCTTTTTTGTTGTTGGAAATTAAGTTCTCCATATTTTTTTCCACGAGCTGCGGAGAAGGGACAGGTCCACCCGGGCAGAGATCCGCTGTACCCGGGTAAGGCTGACTTAGAACAGGCGGTCGCCACTTGCCTGAGCTCACCGTTTGAGACTGAGTTTTTTGATAACTCGGGCTCCCAGCCAGATTGACTCTCGGCACGGTTCGAATGACACCTTAGTCCAGCCCGGGGTGAGATGAGTTGTGTGGGTAGGGAAGAGTTAGGTTCAAAGAGTGTGGGAAGGGGGTATGTGTGAGCTATTTGTCGGAGACGGCAGCACAAGCGCGACGTTGGTACTGCTACGGCGCAGATACCCGCTGACTGTCCGGGGCTACTTATTTACGCTTCGTGTTGGGGGCTTGGCGGTAGCCGGGCCGTATCCAACTTCCACGCTTATTCGTAGCTACCCTGGAGAACCAGGGCGCTCGCTATCCGCAACCTGCGACCCGTTCGGTAGCCTTCAGCTCGGCGCCCTCCGAGCCATCCCACTAGCTCTTTGGCCGAAACACACACACATTAGTTTTAGAATGACCATTCCAATGAGAAACCTTGCAAGTTGGCACAAGCTCTGTGAGAGTGGTAATTAATTATTCAATAATCGTACGGAAACCACGTTTGTTTGTTAGCCTTATTGGAAGTAAGGCTGGGCAGTGCGACCGTGCAGAAAAACAACAGCTTTGGAAAAACTTGATTTGATCGAAAACTGTAGGTGTGCACTTGGATTGCGTTGGTAAGCCTCAGATCCTCCATTCCACTTTGTTATTAACTCGCCGACACTAATTTGACGGACACTAAAATCGAATACTTTGTCGTGTAAACGAAGTTTTCAGAACTCACCTGTATTGCATGTAGGATGGTCATACCGTCAAGCAGAGCGTCTTGTTGACATACAGAAACCAATTAATTTGGATCAATTTAAAAAGGCAGAGTTTGTTGGTGTATAAAAACATAAAATCAATAATAACTGAAATGTTTAACTTGCTTTTATTTATGTAAATGGGTTGTTTTGCTGGTGCTGTAGGAAGTCGCCCATCATCCTGGCAATGCCTTGTAATGGCTCCTTCACCTTTCCTTTAGCGGGCGGCCATTTTCCTATTCCATATAGAAGCACACATATACAGGGGTATCACAAAAACCGTCGACGGCTTTGGGGAGGATTGGCTTGGAAACCAAACAACCAATACCGTCGGGGTCACAAACCCAATAGGGTTTCGGAGTAAATTTGTTCTGATTTCATTTTCGGCGGAAATACGGTTGGAAGAGATTTCTGGGACAAGCCTGATAGTAATATTAGTTTTATAGAATCTTACATCTCAGGAATACGACTGTAATTCGTAAGGTGCATTTGTTTTCTTTTCCATTAAGCCTAGTACTCACATCGACGAAATCCGCGATCTAACCATATGAGTGAGAGAGGCAAATACGCGGCTAACGCTTTTCGTCGGGTCTGTTTTTCAGCGCGGTACACAAATGAGCTAAGGAAATACCAGAAAAAATACCAGATTTGGCGAGTGAATTTCGATAAACGTCGTTAGCCGCTCCCAAAGAATAAGAAATTTAATTTTTGGCGGTGTTCGTGCAAAAGCGGTGTGGAAACTATAAATTTAAAATGGAAGGAAAACCCCAAAATGGACTGCAGGAGGTCAGTGGAGATGAAATAAATTGTGGGACTTCACCGACAGGAACCAATATTATAAATGCGCAAATCCGCAGAATAGTTGCAGTGCTGGGGGACATCCGCTAGGGAATCCCAGTAGGAAGGAACATGCCGAGTGGGTCTTCGCCCCCTAACTAGACATCCTGCCGGTCGTGTCCTCGCAAAGAAAGTAAGATCTGGCCAAACAAATTTTGTTGCGTTGTACTAATAGATATATATTTTTAGCAGAACTACCAGTAATACGATCTCCGACGACCTCTCCTTTAGGACTGCCACCACCACCAGCTACTTGGCAGCTTAAGCAGAGCTGGAGGACGCGCTGGCTTCTATAGGGAGGAGGAAACTAGGGCGCCCGCTATGGAACAGTTGGAGAAGCCATTGCCAGCCATTGCCAAAATGCTGGGCGACTTTCTGCAGCATCAGCGGATCAACCCCGTTCCCTATCCAACTCCAACTTCCTCAAGGTCCAATATGCCCATAGGGACTCGGAGCTGGACTGCGGTGGCGCGGGAAAGATGGCGAAGCATCCGTGGGACGAGAAGGAAGCTTTAAGCTACAATTTTACATACATAAAAACATTCGTTGTACATTCCATTTATTATACCCGTTACTCGTAGAGTAAAAGGGTATACTAGATTCGTCGGAAAGTATGTAACAGGCAGAAGGAAGCGTTTCCGACCCCATAAAGTATATATATTCTTGATCAGGATCACTAGCCGAGTCGATCTAGCCATGTCCGTCTGTCCGTCTGTCTGTCCGGATGAACGCTGAGATCTCGGAAACTATGGGAGCTAGGCTATTGAGATTTGGCGTGCAGATTCCTGAGCTTCTTACGCAGCGCAAGTTTGTTTCAGTAGAGTGCCACGCCCACTCTAACGCCCACAAACCGCCCAAAACTGTGGCTCCTACAGTTTTGATGCTAGAGTAAAAATTTTAACTGAAATGTAATGTTCTTATCAATACCTATCGATTGACCCAAAAAAAAAAAAGTTTGCCACGCCCACCCTAACGCCCATAAACCACCCACAAACTTCAAAAAATCGTAAATATGAACGTGGATATCTCGGAAACTATCAAAGATAGAGAATTGGGATTTCAGATTTAGATTCCGTAGCCTTATACGCAGCGCAAGTTTGTTACGCGAATATGCCACGCCCACTCTAACGCCCACAAGCCCCAAAAACCTGTGACGCCCACAATTTTTATGCTAGATAAAAAATTTTAACTGAAATGTATTGGTCTCGTCAATACCTATCGATTGGTCTAAAAAAAATTTGCCACGCCCACTCTAACGCCCATAACGCTTAAATCTGTATACCGCCGGTAGGTGGCGCATTTTAATCTCGCTTTGGCTGATTAACGGGTATCTGATAGTCGAGGTACTCGACTATAGCGTTCTTCCTTGTTTTTATTTTAATTTCTTTGTGCACCAGCAGACACTTCTATTTTAAATTGGTCCAATTAATTTGTTTTCCGTTTGGCATCAAGCCAAGCTGCTTGACAGTAAGACCATGCCACATGCATTGCCTGGGAACTTTGAAAACTTCGGTCACACTACAAAGAATACGATTTTTCGACTAGTGAAACTCTTAGCCGATCTGAGTACATGTCTTTAAGGAATAAGAAATCCTTTTTTCGCGTTATGCGTCGTTTGCGTTAAGCAATTCGCCTGAAAAAACAGAAATTTGGGCAACAACAGCTCTTGGTTTTTGCATCAAGATAATGCACCGGCTCACATTTCACTCGTTCTTCGTAACCATTTCTCAAAAAATTCGACGCATGTTGTTCCGCAACCACCGAACCCGCTTGATTTGGCTCCGTCTGACTTCTGGCTATTCTCAAAACTCAAGACACCACTCCGGGGAACGCGTTTCGAGTAGGTTGAGGAGATACAAACAAAGGCGCTGATGGCTATACCGGAACCGTAAGGAACTATTTGGCACTTTTCGAGGATTGGTATTTAATACGGAGTGCATTACCTTGAAGGTAAAGATTTTTAACTTTACAAACGAATTAATCTTTTTTTCACAACAGAAGTATAATTCCTCGGGTACCTCTTCCGTCAGCGTGTCCTCCAGCTCCGCTTTCGCTGTAGCTGATGGTGGCGGAGTCCAGTGATTCCCCAAGGGACAGAACGTCAGAGATCGTACTACTGGTGGTTTAGCTAAAAATATACTAACGGGTGTGCAACGTAAACGAATTATTTTGGCAACAACCTACTCTCTTTGTGAGGACACGTCGGGAAGGAAAGTGTCCCACTCGGCATGCTCCTTCTTAATGATGAATCCAGAACTTACACTCTTCTGCGTCTTTGCCTTGCTTCTTGTCAGTCAAGTTCCAAAATATTTAGGCGTGCTTTATATTTCTGCGCAGAACTCTTTCACGCGTTTTTGGATTTGTCTTTCCATTTTTAAATCTGCTTCTGCACGAACACAGCGAAAGATCAAATTTTTTGCCTATCGCATTCTTCCATGATTAGCTTGGAGTTTTCGTCGATTAAACTTGTATGCCTAAGCTTTTTGAAGAACCCTTGGAAATATTTAACCGCTTTTATACCCGTGGGCAGTCGAAAGGAACTGTCTGCGTTTGTTTTCTCTAAACCCGACCATACCATTTTATCAGATATAGTCCATTTGAAGTTGCATAATATCATCGTTTGGAAGATATGCTTTCCCATCCCATGGTTGTAACTGATATGGGATTTTTTTTCTTCTGCAGCAAAGCATGTGAGGTCGTTCTTTTTTTGTAAGATACTTTTAAGGCTATTTTTCACCCTATTAAAAAATTATTACGCAATGGCCTTGAAGGTTACTACGCATATTTTATACCGTACCAAAAAAGTGTGATAGTAAGTACCTATTTTAATGCCGACAAAAACCCATCTTTACTTGGCATCTATATCAGATTCTCGAGGTATGAATTGCAGACGATAGAAAAAAATACTACACATACCAATACATCGCTATTCCTTACCCCGACTGCCATAACCACTCACTTTAGTTAACATGTCCCCGCCTGATATAAAAATAATATGTATAGCTTTAAGCCTAGTACTCAGTTCGGCTAAGAGTTTCACTAGTCGAAAAATCGTATTCTTTGTAGTGTGACCGAAGTTTTCAAAGTTCACCCGCAATGCATGTAGCCGGGACTTACTGTCAATCAGCTGGGTTTGTTGCCAAACGGAAAAGAAATCAATTGGAGAAATTTTAAAAGGAGAAGTCTGCTGTTACACCATCGCCATCTTTCCCGCTACACCGCAGTCCATCGATGAGTCCCAATAGGCATATTGCACCTTGAGGAAGTGGAACGCCAACAGCGTAAGTGCGCCGAATTTGTATTTTTATACCCGTTACTCGTAGTGTAAAAGGGTATACTAGATTAGTCGGAAAGTATGTAACAGGCATATGGAAGCGCTTTTGGCCCCATAAATTATATATAATCTTGATCAGGATAACTAGCTAAGTCGATCTAGCCATGTCGGTCCAGATGATCGCTGAAATCTTGGAAACTATAAGATCTAGGCTATTGGGATTTGGCATGCAGGTTCCTGAGCTTCTCACGCAGCGCAAGTTTGGTTCAGCAGCGTGCCAAGAACACTCTAACGCCCACAAACTTCATAAAATAGGGTATGACAAATTCGGGTTTTTTTTACAATTTCGGAGTTTTCCACCGATTTTCATAATAATAATTTTTTTTTAGATCCAGTAAGGGAAACATCGAGTTTTTTGAACTTTATTTTTTGTAGGATATGACAATTTCTTGAGTTTTGTACAAATTCTGAGTTCCTTAAACGGGATCAGCTGAACAATGCTGTTTTCCACCGTTTTTCATTACAATAATTATACCCGTTACTCGTAGAGTAAAAGGGTATACTAGATTCGTCGGAAAGTATGTAACAGGCAGAAGGAAGCGTTTCCGACCCCATAAAGTATAAATATTCTTGATCAGGATCACTAGCCGAGTCGATCTAGCCATGTCCGTCTGTCCGTCTGTCCGGATGAACGCTGAGATCTCGGAAACTATGAGAGCTAGGCTATTGAGATTTGGCGTACAGATTCCTGAGCTTCTTACGCAGCGCAAGTTTGTTTCAGTAGACTGCCACGCCCACTCTAACGCCCACAAACCGCCCTAAAATGTAACTCCTACAGTTTTGATGCTAGATAGAAAATTTTAACTGAAATGTATTAGTCTTGTCAATACCTATCGATTGCTACGCCCACTCTAACGCCCACAAACCTCCAAAGAAAAAAGCTATGACGTCAGAGCCAGACAATGCGAAATGTTTTTACGCGTGTATGTATGTGTATGTAAATAGTTGCCGGCCGAACTTAGCGGCAAAGAAAAAAGCCCTGCCGGCGCTCAGAGAGAGCAAAGTGCGCGGCTAACTTATTCTATTGAATAATGAACCCTTTATCCATTTGTCCCATTGACGGGCAAAAACCTTTAAAGATCTGTACATCTTTATTTATCTCTTTCAAAGAATATGAATTAGCTTAATAAATACCTATAGATTGTCCCAAAAAAACTTTTCCGTTTTCAGTCCAATGCTCTCAAACCAAAGTAGTTAGGACAAGCCTTGACACTACCCTGCAGTACCATTCAGCGCTTATTGAGCACTCAATCACTGCAAAAAGCTCATCACTGAGCGCTCAATGAGCGCACAATTTGTATGGAACTAAGTGCTTAAATTAACATAGGCATGTCCTAGGGTTCATAAGTGCTCATAAAATAGCACGCATTGAGCGCTTTTTTGAGCACCCTTTTGAGCGCTTTTTTGAGCAGCAGAAAAAGCACACGTTCAGCACATGGTGAGCGCTCGATTAAGCAGCGGAAAAAGCACACATTCAGCACATGTTGAGCGCTAATTCAAGCAGCGAAAAAGCGCACATTCAGCACACGTTGAGCGCTCATTCAAGCAGCGAAAAAGCGCACATTCAGCACACGTTGAGCGCTTAGCAGCAAATATAATTTCAGTTGTAATTTTTATTTTTTTTTTCTTTATTTTAAAATTTGAGCTCGGGGGTTTCCGGTGTTATCGGGGTCGCTGGCACCTCCTTCTCAGCATCTGGTGCCGGCGTCGCCTTTTTTTTGGTACAACTCAAGTTTTTAACGCACCGCATTGCCTTCTGCAGCGCCTTTTCGGGAGGCTCCGAGGGATCCACCAGGGCGATTGCATCTAGTATTAGAAAAAAATTAGTTTTAAAAATAAAACAAGACGAGAGTAAAATCGAGTGACCGAAAGTAATCGTTATTTGTAAGATTTATTTATAATAAAAGAAATGTTATCTTTGGCATTCAATGTAAAAATCCCAGAAGTCTTTTAAAAATTAAACTTACAAACAATAGTTTTCAGCCTCAACAAAAACTTACTTAATAAGGCACGGGCGAAATTTGGGTAGTCTGAGCCTCTTCTTGTTTTGCCCCCCTCCAAGTTGTGGGACAGAACAAGTTCCTCGGATAATATGCTTAAGATGGAACGACTTAGCCTTCCATTTTTTTTATATATTTACCATCAGCCTTGTCTAAAAATATAAGAAAATTAAAAAAATATCGAGAAGAAATTTGCAAACTTTTTTTTTCGGTCACTTGATTTATTTTATTTTGTTGTCGTGTCCTGCTTTTCGCGCAGTGTATATGCCGGCTAGTCAACGAACATCCCAGGGAGGGGAACAACCAACACTGTTGTCTACGCAGCAGACACAACAAAAAAAAAACAAACAAAACGGAAATTCAAACTCGGACAACTGGCAATTTCACGACGGATTTTTCTCGAACATCTGGACTGGACAACACGGATCTTATTGTGGTCCTGGAGTCCCTCCCAACCATGAGTGTATCCTTCAACATCATTTGGACACATCTCCCAATCCTGGTCGGTGGATCCTGCTACCTCGCCTAACTCATCTCACCCCCAACACGAATCTCTACTCACACGACTTCATTTCGTTTTCACGTTATAATTCATAATTTTTGCTTAAATTTTAACATTTTATAACCCTACCTACGGTACCGCACTTTCACAGGGAACACATATATATATATATAAATAAATAAATAAATAACAATAAACAATATTCCAATAGTAAATAAATAGGTTAAATAAATAAATAATTTAAATGGATATAATTAGGAATAACTTAATTTGGGCGGGTTACATAATTAATATCATCAGTCTCAAATTTTGTTGTATTAATTTTCGGCTTTTTGAATTGGTTTGCCGCTTGTAGCTTTCGGGAACCTTTTGCTAATTCTGTGGCAAATGTAAGGGGCGAATAAAAACCTGGGGCCACCCGAGGATGAGCGGCCAATTTTCCTGTCGAAAATGTAGATCTCCTCCTGGTGGCTGGTCTTCGTCTCTCCTTACGTCAGAATATTTTCCTGCTCCAGACTTTTCCCTCACGGAATATTCTATAAATATTTATATTTCAACTACACTCACATTAACAAGGATTTTTTTTTTTTATCACTCACTGGAACTTGACTTCTAATCTTATATATTTTTTTTTTTGTCCACCAGAACCGTCTGCGACCAACTATATTTGCCCTTTAAACACCCTTGCTTGTTTCAATTTTTCAAGCCTCTCTTAGCCCAAAAACCACTCAAACTTTCCGAATTTAAACCTTGGTTCATTTGGGAGTTATCCGGTTTAAGGAACCAGTTCCATGACTTGTCCAAGCTGCACGACTCCCTGAACTCACGAGTCGTCGATAGTGTTGTATCGATTTTTCGACTATCGTTATCAGTCCTAATGTAAACAGCTTTGCTAAATTTACAACTTGTGCATATTTCCTTATCATTTAGCACATAACAAGCACACCACGGTTTCGATGCTCGTCTCGGAACTGGAGTGGAGGATGTGCGTGTTCTGCTGGTTGTACTTCCCAACGTAGGCCACCGCCCACAACCCTGAGATTAATGCCTGGTGAGTGTGATTTGCTAGCCGGGCACTATTGTTTCAGATCCTTTGCATGGAAAACTCCCAAAGGATTGCCGCGCAAGTTTTCTAAAGCGTACAAAGAGTTTCCCAACGCTTTTGTGACTCGACATTTAGTGTACTTTCTGCAAAACTTGGAATTTCTATTCTTGCTGAAGTCACTTAGGACAAAGTTTCTCTTGTATATTTCTTGTCCCGGTGAGTATCGAATCTCTCGGGCCTTTAAGTTATAACTCTTCGCTGCTTTCTCGTAGGCCTGATGTATCCTTTCCTTTATTCTTTCTCTGGATAGCTGTTGTCGTTCCGACCTGGGCAATTGGGCTATCTCAGCTTCATTCAGGGCATTCAACTTGCGAGCCAGCGAGTAATCTTTCCCGTTCGTGAACATGTGCTGTCCGAACATGGCAAAATACGGCGAAGTTCCGGTGCTGCTATGTATGGATGACCTCAGCGACGCTTGTACGTCCGGTAAGTGTTCATCCCATCGCGTGTGGTCATCTTGGATGTTTACTCGGATTGCTGCTAATACGGATTGGTTCACTCTCTCCGAAGCATTGGATTGTGGTGCGTATCTCCCTGTCTTCATGTGTGTAATTCCATATTCTTGTAGCATATTCTCGAATTCCTTGGATACAAACTGCCTTCCGTTGTCCGTGTGGATTGTTTCCGGAACTCCGAATTGGGTGAATATTCCTTCTTGCAGGAATCGGATTACAGCTGTCGACGTGGCCTTCGGCATCGCTTTTAGCCACACAAACTTGGTCAAGTGATCTAATGCGATAAATAGCATAGTATTTCCTCGGCGAGACCGCGGATATTTTCCTAAGAAATCCAGGTACATCTTTTGCATGGGTCGATCTGTCCGTACTTCCTTCCCCATCACTGGTCGCTTTATCTGTGTGGTGTGCTTGTTCTCTTTGCAGTTTTCGCAGGCTGCTACAAAGTCTCGGACTTGAACTACCATTTTGGGCCAGTAATACATCTGCTGAAGTCTCGCCAAGGTCTTTGCCATACCCCCATGCATCGCCATGTCACCGCTGTGGGCTTGCTGGATTAAAGTTGTCGTCAATGCTTCCGGAATCCACAGTTTCCATTCAAATTCCCCACTTCCCTCTCTATTGAAGTGTGTCTTCTTGAATAGAAGTCCTTCTTCCACACGTAAGTCCGGAAATTTATCTCTTCCTTGCTCTTCAACCAACTGCAGTCTTTCCAGGTATTCAGGACTCTCAAATTCAGTTGTTTCAAACTCGAAGAACTCTACTTCGGCGGTTTCATTCGGCCGAGATAGCATGTCGGCCACGATGTTGTCTTTCCCTTTCCGATGCTCTATGTTGAAATCGAATGCCTGTAACGCTAATGACCACCGCGCCAGCCTCCCGTTCAAGTCCTTGAGCGTCATAAGCCATTGCAGGCTTGCATGGTCGGTAACGATCGTGAACGGCATCAACTCCACATAGGGACGGAATCTTTCTACGGCTTTTACTGCTGCGAGACACTCTTTTTCCGTTACACTGTAATTGAGTTGTGCTCCTCTCAGCTTCGCCGAAAAGAATGCTATTGGCCGGTCCGATCCTTCGACGTCTTGCTGGTATAATACTGCCCCAATTCCTACATGGCTGGCGTCACACTGTATCCAGAAGTGTTTTCCAAAGTCTGGATGAGCTAATACCGGCGCACAGGTAAGTGCTTTCTTCAGCGTTTCGAATGCCGTAGTTGCTTCCTCCGTCCACATAAATTTTGTTTTATTTTTAAGGCAGTCCGTGAGCGGCGCACTTACACCGGAGAAATTTTGGATGAATCTGCGATACCAGCCTGCGGTTCCTAAGAAGCTGCGTAGTTGTCGCGTATTTTTGGGCACCTCTATCTTCATAATCGCCTCAACTTTCTTCGGATCCGTCCGCAAGGCCCCATCACCGATTATGAATCCCAAATATCGCAAGTATTTAAAACAAAATTTTGACTTGTGTAGCCCGATCGTCAAATTTGCTTTATTCAAACACTCTGCCACTTCTTTCAGCAACATGCAGTGTTCTTCGAAAGTCTTGGATATCATCAGCAAGTCATCCAAGTATACAAAGACGCGGCTGCGAAGACGCTGTGGGATTACCTTGTCCATTACCCTACACAACCTTTGAGCCGAATTACATAACCCGAATGGCATCCGTCGAAACTGATACAGTGGCCTTCCAGGTATTGTGAAAGCAGTCAAGGGACGACTTTTCTCATCGAGTTCCACTTGCCAGAACGCATGTTTCAAATCGATACTGCTGATGAAAATCGTCTCATCCACCCGGCTCAAAATCGACTCAATGTTCTGTAGCGGGTAAGCATCCTTCACTGTAAGTGTGTTCAGTTTTCTCGCGTCTAAGCACAGCCTATTCTTTCCAGGTTTCTGTACCAGTGTCGTTCGGTTGTTCCAGGGACTTTCACTTACCTCGATGACTCCTAACCGTAGCATTTCATCGACTTCTGCGAATAGCAGTTGTTGTTTCGCCGGAGACACGGGAAAGAATCTCTCCTTGACGGGTACAGCTCCTTCAACTAACTGGATCGAGTGTTCTTCTACTTTGGTGAGTCCTAATCCTTGACTTTCATAGGTCAGAAAACGTCCTTTTGCTTCTTCCAGTTGCTCAGTCTGCTCGGGGGATAGGATATGTGCCTCTATCGGTTCTCCTTTGGCCATAAATTCGGATTCCACCTGGTGCAAGGATTCTACGCCCACCACCTCTGGTGCCAATTCGAATTTTCTCCAGAAATCTATGCCCAGGTATAATTTTTGCTTCAAGGATGGACAAAGGAGTATCGGCAATCGATGTGTTAACCCATTATACGAGATGCTGGGTTGAATCTTCCCCACTACTCGATGCTGTGTACCTCCTGCTGATTTCATTATCGATTGTGATCTCTCTAATTTCAGTCCTAACCTTTCCACTGTTTCTAGGCAACCTTCCCCAAGCAAGCTTACTGATGCCCCGGAATCCAAGAGACCCACGACCTCCAGGTCTTCGATCTTCACCTGTGCGAATGGTCTGTTGTCGCCTTCCACCGCTGCTCTGATGGCCGAACAAATCATCCTTCTTTCTGCCTTCCGCTGCTGACTTCTCCTACGGGCTCTGGCAATTTTTGGCGAAATGTTCCGGTCCGGATCATTTTTCCCAAATATTCGGTTCCTGACCTCTTGGTAATGTGCTTCTCGGACTGCTATCGGTTCACGTGTCGACCATTTAATGGTATGTTCTGGTCTATTTATGTTTATCATAATTTTACTAATTTTATTCTCCTTACAGCTATCCTTATCATTAGGCATGCAATTTGACGAGGCTTTCACTTGTTCATGGCAAACGGATTGGAGCGTGGTTCCTCGTTCTTGCCCAAGCTCCTCATGCCGTTTCCCGTCTGGCATCGAGTACATCTTGGAGTCCTCACACCGGGTAGTCCACACTTGAAGCAGAACACCTTCAACACCTCCGATTCACACGCGTTGAATGGGTGTCCCACGGTTCCACAATTCCAGCATGTCAGTGGCTGTCGTTCCCTGTTGGTCTCCCAGTGTCTAGCTAATGCCTCCACTTCCTCTTGTTCTCCAGGTACACTCTCTTCTCCGACTGATTCCGGACAAAGCTCATCGATCCTCGGACGATCTTTATACCCTCGGTGAGTTTCGAGGTTGCTGGGATGTCGGGTCCACCGAGTCGCCAATATCCTCTCCGCGTCGTGGCATTCATGTCGGAGTTGATCCATATTAGTGATGTATATCGGGTATATAATTCTCGAAATCTGATCCCTAATGTTCATTTTTATTACTTTTATTAGGTCAAAGTCGGAAAACGGCATCTCTAGTCGAGATCTGAGCGCTAGCATGGTCTGGATATACACCTCGATCGTTTCTCCCGGCTTCTGCTTCCGTTCTCGCAGCTCATACTCTCGCTCGAAGTTGGATCGGTGACTCTGGAACTGCTGCTGTAGTGCATACCTCAGGTAAGTCCACTCTTGCTTCTCCGTTGACCTCACGTACATCCAGTACCATTCCTTGGCTTGTCCTTCAACTAACACGTGAAATTCTCTTAGGACCTCCTTCCACGGCACCTGATACGACCTTTGGAGATGTTCGAGGCGGAATATAAACTCTGACACGGGCATGCTTCTGGGACTTCCATCAAAACTGAGCCCCCACTTCCGCAGTTGGCCGGCTTTAAACGCAGAATCGCCCACTGCCCCGCTTGACCGACGCTGATCCGGTCCTGGATTGAAGTTGATATGAGCCCCGCCGTTTCCAGGAGGATTTTCTGGCGGCGTCATGTGAGACCCATTCCATCTCCTTGGTTCCTGCTCCGTCGACCAGGCGGTTTGCCGATACCCTTCCGATGCGTGGCGATTTATCTCCTGCTTCTCGGACAGCGCCCCAGATGTTGGCGGCGGGAAACCCATGTGGTGACTTACCCCCGGCAGTATGATTGGCGGAGGTTGTTGTAGCATCCTCGGGTCGAATGGTGGCACCTGACTCGGATTTGCCCGCGGCTGCTCGGCAAGGCCATGAGGTGGCGGCATCGGCGTCCCCGAAGAGGGTATTTGGCCCTGTCCAACTTGCTGTCCTTGGGCCTGGCGAACCTGCGTAGATGCCTGCCATGCTGCTTTTTCCTTCACGAAATCCCTGCGCCACTCCGCCATGCAGTCATTGATGTCCTTCATGAACTGCATCATATCCTGCTGCATCTGCTGTTTAAACATTTCGTACTCCGTCGACATTCCCACCTGGTACGTATGTTGAGCTTGAACCAGTGCCGCATTAACACCTGATTTTATCTCAGATGGCAAAGACTTTGGTATGGCCCCGGTTCCGCCTACCGCTTGAAGACCACTAGCTTCTCCTGGACTTCCGCTTCCAATTCCTTCAGGATTCTGCTCCCTTAGCGACTCCATGCCTTCGGGTGCCGATATGTTCTCCAATTTCTCCTCTTGATTAGCTTGTGAGCGAGTTACTGGCGGAGTCATACCTGCTGGTCCCCTATTCCGGATGAACTCCAAACTTCTCCTCAATTTTCTTCCGATTTGAACCCTATTCCTATCACTATTTGGCATATCCTAGTTCCTTTCTCATGTATATTTGTTTTTTTCTTATCTCTTCAAATTTTTCTAATCTGGGGGGGATGAGACGTAGCTATTTACATTATCCACTAACTTTTCTCTCCTTTCCTTCAGTTCCTAATCCGTTCGTGTCAATTTTCACAAGTATTTAAACGATTTCAATAATTTAATTTACTCCTTATCTTTCAGACTTTACTTGAAACTGGCTGGGCAACGATGTTACACTTTATTCACAGCGTACATGGACCACACCAACTCCAAACATAGCAAACAAATTTAAATAAGTTATTACACATTTACTTTACCACAGACAACATATTAAAAAGACAATTGTTTTCTTTTTCTATTTCATATGCTGATGAACCTCCTAGCCTGGCTTCGCATGTCCCGCTTTACTTGGTCATGGGTCCACTTCTAGTCGGTCTTCTCTCTCTCAGCAAGGATTGTGCTCAGCAGAAAGGACTTTTCGGGATTTCACTCACTGTGGCTACGATGGGTTCGACTTTCTACGCCCGCCCACGGTCCAAACAGCTGGTTTCCGATGTCGCTTTCTATTGACACATTCTCTGGTGAGTATTCACTTTTTACGTTATGCTTGAAAATTTTTACTTTTATCGATTCCATTTCATTAATTTCTTAAATTTTCATTGGGCGCCATTTGTCGTGTCCTGCTTTTCGCGCAGTGTATATGCCGGCTAGTCAACGAACATCCCAGGGAGGGGAACAACCAACACTGTTGTCTACGCAGCAGACACAACAAAAAAAAAACAAACAAAACGGAAATTCAAACTCGGACAACTGGCAATTTCACGACGGATTTTTCTCGAACATCTGGACTGGACAACACGGATCTTATTGTGGTCCTGGAGTCCCTCCCAACCATGAGTGTATCCTTCAACATCATTTGGACACATCTCCCAATCCTGGTCGGTGGATCCTGCTACCTCGCCTAACTCATCTCACCCCCAACACGAATCTCTACTCACACGACTTCATTTCGTTTTCACGTTATAATTCATAATTTTTGCTTAAATTTTAACATTTTATAACCCTACCTACGGTACCGCACTTTCACAGGGAACACATATATATATATATAAATAAATAAATAAATAACAATAAACAATATTCCAATAGTAAATAAATAGGTTAAATAAATAAATAATTTAAATGGATATAATTAGGAATAACTTAATTTGGGCGGGTTACATAATTAATATCATCAGTCTCAAATTTTGTTGTATTAATTTTCGGCTTTTTGAATTGGTTTGCCGCTTGTAGCTTTCGGGAACCTTTTGCTAATTCTGTGGCAAATGTAAGGGGCGAATAAAAACCTGGGGCCACCCGAGGATGAGCGGCCAATTTTCCTGTCGAAAATGTAGATCTCCTCCTGGTGGCTGGTCTTCGTCTCTCCTTACGTCAGAATATTTTCCTGCTCCAGACTTTTCCCTCACGGAATATTCTATAAATATTTATATTTCAACTACACTCACATTAACAAGGATTTTTTTTTTTTATCACTCACTGGAACTTGACTTCTAATCTTATATATTTTTTTTTTTGTCCACCAGAACCGTCTGCGACCAACTATATTTGCCCTTTAAACACCCTTGCTTGTTTCAATTTTTCAAGCCTCTCTTAGCCCAAAAACCACTCAAACTTTCCGAATTTAAACCTTGGTTCATTTGGGAGTTATCCGGTTTAAGGAACCAGTTCCATGACTTGTCCAAGCTGCACGACTCCCTGAACTCACGAGTCGTCGATAGTGTTGTATCGATTTTTCGACTATCGTTATCAGTCCTAATGTAAACAGCTTTGCTAAATTTACAACTTGTGCATATTTCCTTATCATTTAGCACATAACATTGTTGTAAAAAATTATTTATGTATTTTTTTTATTATTTTTTAAATCATTTATTTATTTTGCAGATGCGGAAAAAATACCACTTTTCCAGGGACGGAAAATTAGAGATGTTTGAGATTTTTATTTAAATAGCCATGTTCGTTTACTTACACAAAAATAAAAATTGTGCTTTAATGTTATTAATACAAAAAATCATAAGTTATAAAAACAAACATCTCATATTTTTGGTCCCTAGGAACTTAGCACTCAATAAGATTTTCAAATTTTTTCACAGATTCATTCATTTGTTTATTTATATGCATCGTTTGTTGTTTTTCACGTCAAAAATTAATATTTTTCACAGCTATTTTTTTTCCGCCACGTGTTTTTTTGGGAATCTTCTATTTTCCATTTTTTCAATATACTTTAACTTGTTTTTACTCTCACTGATTAAATAAATATTGGTCTGCGACAGACTTACCTGGGAATCGTATAGGTATCACTTTTAAACCACTGGTTTATTTTATTTAACTACCTTAATTGCGTGCAATTCTAACTCCTTCACATAAGTAAACCCAAGTGAAAAAGACGAAAAAAGTCGCGTGCCTTCCAGAAAAACATGCATCTTGCACATAAAAGCAGGGTATTTTTAGACATATCCGACTATGCAAATCGGTTTATAAAAATATATTCTTAAAACTTCACATATTACTAAATAATATTAATAAACCTATAAATTTGTTTAAGAAATACAAATATTTTAAAACAGAAACCTTTTATTTTAAATGGTTCTTTTATCATTTACGAACAAATGTCGCATTATTCAAAAGGCAAGGGTGCACAAAAGTCTATATATTTTAGTTGCTGGGCCTCCTTCCCATCACACGCACTTTTCCGTCTGAGACATGGCGAGAGAGGGAGAGCCCAAAATTACTTTTTGTGCGTTCTCTTTGCGGACCCGACTGAGAGCGCGTCGCTTTGCCGCCGTTGCGCTCAGCTCTGCCGGCGTCGCTGGCTTCTCTGCCGACGTCGCAGTCGGCTTCGTGATGATTGGGCGCTTAACTCAATTGTGGAACTGCAGGGTAGAGCCAGAAAACGACATACATACATACATATGTATTTATGCATGTGTGTGGACGTAAAAAATTGCAATCTAATATCCGCGGCAAATAGAATTCTTTCAAACAAAGCTATTCAACCAAATATTTTGAAATACAGAATGTGCCTTAAAATTGTGTATGTTTAGCAAGCATACATAAATATAAATGTTTTTTGTCTATTTTATGTGTTGTTTTCTCATTCTCGGCGCTGGCTGAAACAAAAGCAGAGCCGAGAAATGAGAGCAAGGGAGAGAGAACAAAGTGCGCGGCTAACTTATTTTAAAGTTTGTTATCTGAGTAACGGGTATCTGATAGTCGAGGTACTCGACTATAGCGCTCTTCCTTGTTTTTTTATAAAATACACTATGGGAAAAATCGTGTTTTTCGAATTTTATTTTTTGTAGGGTATGACAAATTTTTGTGTTTTGTACAAATTCTGAGTTCCTTAAACGGGGTCAGCTAAACAATGCTGTTTTCCACTGATCTTCATTACAATAATTTTTATATTGTAAGCTGTGTAATTCCAGTGCATAATGTTATTTAGTATATTTAGTGCAATCTAGTATTAATCGATTTAGTTTTAAGAGATATTGTAATCGATCAAGAAGAGCAAAAAAGCGCAACCAAATTTAAAAATTTTAAATAAAAACCGATATGTTTATAAATCAGGTGTGGGGTTTGCCCAAATGTTGCGCAATGTTATCATACAGTGAGGTTGTTAAGATGTCCAAAGACGAGCTGCTGGAGCTCCTTTCCGAGAAGGGCATCATGTTCGGGGCTGATGCAACAATTTACCAACTCCGTGCTGCGTTAAACCGTGCAAGGAATCTGGAGGCTAACATCGAGGACGCCGAGGACACAGAGATCCAGGGTCAAGATGAGGAGCAGGATTCCCCGAGCACACCGAAGCTTGCAAACCGCATGCTAACGCTGATCGAAGACTGTGAGAAATTGCAAATGGCCGACGCTGTGGCGCCGTTATTGGAACCTTCTGGAAGTTCGCAGCAAACCGTTATGAACATGACGAGGCAAGAACCGATTGAGCAGAACATTCGCTCAATGGCTCGCGAAACGTCGGAAATCAATCAGATGATGGAACTGTACACCGCTAGATAGAAGCTAGCCGAACTCAAATTGATAGTCGCCGAATTGGAAGGCATGACTACAGCGAATGCTTCCATACATCAAGTCGATCTGAAGGATGTGGAGGCCATGATCCCGGAGTTTTCAGGAGACGACAACCTTTCGGTCAAGGTTTGGATCCGTGAATTGGAAAAAGCTGCCGAGGTTCATAAACTAAGCGTTACACAATGCCTATCTATTGGCACCCGTCTTCTCCGAGGATCAGCTAGGCAATACATGCTGTACGAAAAGGTTTCTTCCTGGCCAGAAATGAGCGCCACGCTCACCCTAGTTTTTGGAAACAGATTGTCAAACCAGGAAATTGCGAAACAACTGCAAAAACGCACAATTGGGAAGTCCGAGACCTTGATGCAGTATTTCATCACAATGCGTAATATCGCCCAGCAAGGCAACTTTGATGAAGTAGACGTCGTGAAGTACATCGTCGATGGACTAGAGGACCACAGTGGACGCGCTGCTCCACTCTACTATTGTATCACGTTGGATGAGCTAAAGTTAATGCGATTCCAGTCTGTACGTCTGGAGTCCAATCGTAAAGCCGTCACCATGATCCCTCGCCCGAAAGACACTAGATGCTACAACTGCCGACAAATGGGGCACACCGCCAAAGATTGCAAGAAGCCGAAAAGACCGGACAACGGATGCTTCATCTGTTTCGAAGTGGGCCATATGCACCGTCAGTGTCCCAAGCGCACCGTGGGCTTTACCTTGCCAGAAGCTGAAGAAACCATGGATGAAAAGCCGCTTATTCAGTTAGTAAGTTTAAGATTAAGTAGTTTAGCAGGATGCACCGATATTAAAGATGTTTTTGCTTTGTTAGATACCGGAAGCCCAATAAGCTTTTTGGGAAAGTCATACTATCCATATTTAAATGAAGATCATCAGCTAAAGAAAAGTCCCTTTCGCGGAATTGGTGGCACATCAATACCAACGTACGGAAAAGTACCCTGTTCAATTTTGTTGAAGAAAGTATACGTTATACGTTAGAAGTATACGTTATTCCCGATCTCATTTTACCTACAGCGCTTCTCCTTGGCAGAGACGCCCTTAAGTTACTCAATATTAAACTTTTTGTGAAAAGATATCATGAAAGAAATGAATCAA